GTGCCAGAGTGTATGTGTAATCACTAAGGATCAGAGTTTCTTACGTCGAAATTTTCTAAGGACCTTCTCATCATCTGCACAAAGGCTGTGCTTATTTTTCATCAACTCATTCCAATAGTGGCTGAGATTTGTAACAAAACCTGTAAAGATAAGGAATCCAGGAACTCGATTCATTGTAAATCATTTTCCTACAAGGAAATTTTTTCTTAAGAATTGTATTCCACCAGCATTAGTCATTAATAATAGAAGTTTGTTAATATTCGACAGGTGAGTTAACTACCGTACTGCTGTCTTAATCAACCAATACCTTTTGTGGCATGTAGTTTAGCACAAATTAGCTAGACGAGACTATAAGAGTCCGGTAAGTTCACACAAGTCTCAAATTGGCCAAAACCGACTTGCAATAGTCAAAATTTTCAAAACACCCAAAACGTGTTTTGAGAATTTTGACTTGATTATAACTGAAAACACTCAAAATAACAAATTTGTCGTTTTGATATTTCTTTATAAATTTTTAACTCGTTTTAAAAAATGCGTTTTCGGAAATGGGAAAGAGAACACATTTTTACTGTTTTGAAAAATCGAAAAACAGAAAAAACTTGAAAATGGTAAAGAGAACATGCCCTTAACTTTTGATACACCTATCACTTATAGGAATTTAAACCAAACTTTATGTAAAATGTATGAATTATATGCCGAATGAATGTATGCAAATATTATTCGGGTACCCTCTGCACCTACTCCTCTCACTAATATTGAAGAAGACAACGCTAAAATATTAACTTTATTCGAAGGCATTAACATGTATAGATATGATGCAAATGCAATAGGTTCTTCTAGTAGTAGTTTATCTACCGCATGTAATCAAACATCGGACGCAAGTCTAAATGTATTGTCTGTTGAATTAATTGATTATTTTAATTATAATATGCATAATAACAAAATAATTAAAAAAATTAATAAGAAGTAATTGAATTTTGGCGAAAGTACAAATGACGATGGCTAGTGATTTTTGCAATTGCAAAAGACCTACTAACACCTTAGGTTAACACTGTAACTTCGAAATTTGCTTTTAATGCAGGTAAAAGAGTTTTGTCCAAGGTCACAAGTCGACTCAAAGAAGATATTTTGAAAACATTAATGTACTTGAGGATTAGGAAGACGCTCATTCCTGACTGCAAAATAAATATGTCAAAATTGTATGTCGTCAGATAAGTGATATGTAATTTAATTATATTAATTAAAATTTGTTATTTTATAATATTTTATTTTTAATTTTTAAAATTTTTTTTATACGAAACAAGTTGTTCGTCTACAATTTTTAATTTCATCTATTCAAAATAAAAGTAGTTAATCCTCGGCTTGAATAAATGAGGAGGGTTTAATTAAAAAAAATTAACGAGCTCGCCTCTCGAGTAACGAGCTGAGTGTCGACAAGACACGAGCTCGCTCGTGATCGCGTGGACATTAGCTTGGCTACCCATTGCCACCCAAGGTGTCACGGACCGTGGTTTTACTTAAACCCCGTGATCCTATCGCAGCCGCAGTTTGCCCAACTTCAACAGTAAATATTTCATTTAATTGTAAAATAGTTGGAAATTAAAAAAGTTTAGTATGATTTCTCAACTTTTAAACGTCTACTCCCGTCAGTCGAGTTTTTGTTGTTAAGTCTATTAGTACTATTACAGGGGGTATTAGTTTTTCAAATATCTTTCAAACTTTCTAATGTTCGCCTCCTGCACTAGGCATTGTAATTTCTTGATTTCGTCTATTGTAATTTCTAGCTTTCAATCAATCAACGATCAAGTTATGTTCAATGCATTTCAATT